GACCTTTTAAACGTGTGATTTTAAGAAGAAAGACTGGGAAAAGAGGGAAGTTTGTTTACTGACCACATGCTAAGTGACATCATGGGCCCTCATACATTGTCACTCTTCTCCAAGCACACTGGATCTTTCTGACCATAAAGCCACAATCAAATTTTTACTGCTGACTGGGCTGGGTACCAGGCCCTGCATCTGGCCTCTTTTTTAGTCTCACTAAAGCAACTAGGGCAGATTCAGCAGAAAGCTTGTCCCCCACCCCCATCAGCGTCAAGGAAAGAGGCTCCGAGAACAGGTCATGAGAACCTGCACTCACCATTCAATCTCCTCGGTCCCACGGCCCTTCAGGAGCTCTTGCACCTCCTTCCGGCAGCGCTCCTGGTATTCCGGGTGCTTGGCCAGGTTGTACAGGACCCAGGAGAGGCCGCTGGCTGTGGTGTCATGACCTGAGGGGCAGCCAGGCAGGTTTGGGTCACTGAGCTACTGCAGTGCCAGGGGGCAGGCATCTGCCTTGCGTTGAGGTCCTCCAGGAGGATGGAGGAGGGTGGGAGGTCTAGAGTCCACCCAGCAATTCCCCAAGAAGAGGGAGCCCCTCTCCCCTGTGAAATCTCATGTTGACCCTCACCCCCAAACATGAACGTTTCAGCCTCTGCTCGAATATCCTCATCTGACAGCACCTTCCCGTCTTCATCCTGGAGAGAAGGAAGACCATTGCCAGCCCTGAATTACACCAGCTAAGTGTCCCTGCAGGGCAATGAATTATCTAACATGGCTCCCCCAAAGGACCTCTTCTTGATGGGTCTGTGTTAGAGGAGTGGGAGAGAACGACACTGCTAGGATATGGCTGTGAGTAATACTTAACAGGGTTCCTTGTGATTGTCTTCTGCTAGGTATAAAATGAGAACCGGGAGTGGCGCACGTCCTCTGGATCCCGAGATCCCTACGCAGTGAACCTCCTTGATCCAGGAAGGCAACTTTGACATCAGAGGAGTGACAGAGGAGAAGCAGAGCAGGCGCCAGGGTCAAAGAGGAGGACTTCCCAGGCCACGGAGCAAGCAAAGCTGAGGGCTCGGGGGCTGGACTCTGGTTGGTGAATTGCGGTGCCTTTGGGCACTTAATTCGGAGATCTGGGTTTGCTGCCCCTGGAGCTGGAGCTGCGGGTCTTCAGATGGAGGCTTACGGTGGAGCGGCATGTCCTTTGGACACTTATGAGCAGGCCCAGAGGGGCTTTGCAACATGTCCTGGCAGAGCAACTCTATCCTGAGCATTTTTTCACCTACATTGTAACCTGTTAATTTCCATCACAAACCCCATAATCGTGAGCATTTTCTGTGAGTTCTGTGAGGCTATTGCAATGAATCATAAAACCTAGTTGAAAAACTAAAGAGGGCTGTGTGAGACACACAGTCTTGATCCTAATCCAGAGTCACACAGATTGGCCAGGGACAAGCGATCTTACAGCCGAAGACGAGCTAGACAGAAAGGCCTAACAATTTCAACTAACCAATGAAACTCTTATGGATCATAACAGGACATTGTGCACGATTGTGCTGGATGAGGAAGCCACTCAAAAGGTGGCCACAACCATGGACTCAGGCACACCATTTATCTTGAAAATGGCCCGGGCCCAGGCCCTGTTGCCTTCTATCATGCACAGTTCACCATGAGTCGGAGCCCACACTACCATCCACAAAGATCCAGCTCCCATCCAGAAAGCCACGCCCACCCTGAAGCCCTAGATGCCCTGTGCCTCACCCCCCTCTGGCTAGCCCTCCCTACCGGCCTCATCCCTGTTCTCCTATGCTCCTATGTTGCCCCCCCCCCCCCACAGTGGGAAGAGTCAATGGTCCATGCATTTGTGCATGTTTCTGTATGAGGAGAGCTTTGTGGATTACATTGGATGACAACTTCCCCTGGATGTCGGAGATTGAATAGGACTCCGTGGCCATCCATTGACACTCTGGGGCCATGAATCCAGACAGTCCAGTCTTCCCTGCCCCAGAGTCATTGGCTACATACACCTCAATGACTACATAGAGAGGCTTTGCCCGCACCCTGCACAGATCTGTTTTACTCCCAAGCAGAATCACCCTCCCTCTCCCTTCGCTAATCTCTTCAGAGGAGTGGAGGGAGATGCTGCTGCAGGTCTGCATGAGCTATAAGTCCGACCCTGTGGGTCCCTTTCCTCGGGTGCAACCCTGTGGGAGGTACAGGTGAAAAACTGAGGGCAGGGCATGTGGCTTGTGGGATCCTTTGGAAAGGGTGGGGTGGGGGATGCAGCACTGGGATGCTACTCTGGATGCTATTACTGCTCTGAAATAAACAATGTACTCTGATCACATATATATATATATACATATACACACACATCCTCTACCCATCTGCATGTTGCGGTGGTGACATGTGTTGCTATGATGCTGAAAGCTATGCCAATGAGAGTTAAATACTAGCAGGCTCTCTTGTGGTGAGCAGATCTCAGCAGAGCTTCCAGATTAAGACAGACTAGGAAGAAAGTCCTGGAGAGCTCCGGGAAAATCAGCCACAGGAGAACATTGTTCGACATCGTGCTCAAAGCTAAGTCTCCTGGGTTGGAAGGCACTCAACATACCCGGTGGCCATCACATTGGTGCTCAAACGCCCAACAAAAGTCAAAGTGGTGCAGGATTGGGCACCATGGCCTTCTGTTATACAGAAGAGTTACACACATGAGTAGGAGCTGATGGGACACTAACAACGATATTGTACGTCACTCAAACACACACACATACACACTGTGACCATCTAACTTGTTCACTTGTAAGTAGAGTCAACCCTCAGGCCTTTGGCCTCTCCAGATTTACCAGTGTCTACAGGTTATTTTCCATGGCCCTCCCTTTGTCGAACCCCTTCCATGGCTCCCCAGTAATGGCTAGATCACATTCAAGCCCTTCCATTGGACATTGAAAAGTGAGGTTATGCCTACTTTTCAAATCAGAAGCCCCAGGCACCCACCGTGCTCAACAGAAGCACATCGATGAAGTCCAGAGTCTTGGCCTTGGCCTTGGCTTGAGCCTGGAGAAAAGTATCGACGCCCTGACCTTTGAGGTCACGGCGCCGTTGCTGGATGACGGCGTAGGTGAAGTCGTGCACCAGGCGACAGGCCCTGCGGAAGCGCCTCCCATCGGGAGTGAGGTAATACAGGAAGTCCCAGTGCAGCAAGAGCTGATGGTGCCGTTTCGCTACGAGGGCGCTGAGCTCCAAGATGGCAGCGATATAGTCACTGGGCTTCCTGCAGGACGAGGGCAAGAAAGGAGGCAGCAACGTCACAGACCTACGGCCCAGGGCCCTCCTTCCCAGAAGCCAGGCACTACCTCCCATGGTGACACTGAGCATCCAGGAGAAGATAGTGCCAAAGACGCAGGTGAGGAGGAGCCAGGAAATAGGACTATCCACCCCTTCTTCTCTCCCTTCCCCCACATCCCTGGGAGCTTGGACATCATGCTCATTAATCTCAACAGCCCCAAACCTCATCCTCTCTCAAATGGTCTGTGGGTCCAGCTTTCTACCTCGTCTCCTTCTACCCAGCCAATGTCATTTTCTATCCAGTGCCTATATAACAGCGCATCATCCACAAATTTGTAAGCCTCCGCTCTGACCGTGCCCTGCGCTGGCTCAAATTCTTGCCCTGGCTCCACCGGCGCCCAAGACAGAGTCCACACTGCTGGGCCTATCCTTAAGATCTGGCCTCTGTGTGCTTCTCTGACCTCATTTATGAGACGTCTCCTTGTTGTTCTAAACACGGCTCACCCTAGCCTTCTTGTTTTTATTCCTTAGTTGCCCAGCGCTCGCCTATCTCCTCCAGGAAGACACTTCTGACTGCCCTGGTCAATCCTCCCTCCCCATCTACTCTTTTGGGTCCATCATTCCAGTTCCCAGATTCAGGCTTAGGACTCACTCCTGGCAGCGGCTGTCCAAGCTGAAGACACATTTCTGCAGACTGTCCAGGGTCATGAGGCTGATGTGCTCAAACAGGTCCAGACGGGCGCTGCCATCAGAGGCCAGGAGCCTCCACTTACCCTGGTCAGAGATGATGGCAGAGATGGGACTGGGATCTACCTCCTCTGGAAACCACCCCCACACCACCCAACCACAATCACCTAAATGCCATCTAGAGCCCAACCTCCCAGTCTTCCCTCCAAGCCACTGCCGCCGCCAGAGCAGATCAGGCTTGGGTGGGAATGGAAGCTTTTGCAAAGATATGAAAATACCACGACTGGGAGGCCTGGGTTCGATTCCCAGGCTCTGTGTCATATACCCTTTATCAACTCATTGTCCCCTGTGTTCCAATGGTTAAACGTGTGCTCATAGCAAAGATGATCTACCCCAGAGTTCTGTAAGGCAGGTTGGAGTCTCAGCCCCACCATTTGTGAAACCACACTTACTAGTTGCTTGAAAGCAGATAAATGACCTAATCTCATGATCTACGATGTCTTAACAATAACCATCCATCCCCAACAGGCTTGTGAGCATGCAAGCAGTCAGTATGTGTCATGAAACGAAGCATAGTTTCTGGCCGATGCGAAGTGCTCAATATCTGTTAGCCTGACTTTATTCATCACCATCATCCTTTTTCCAGATTGGTTGCAAAGTGTACCCTTTGTCAGGAAAGGCAGTCCTCCATGGGCCCTGAGCATCCCTGTACATTCTGCCTCGGTACATGCGCAACTCAAGGTCCGTATGCTCTTTCGTTGGGTCAGTTCCCAGCCTTGTGTTTGCAGTG